ATGCTCAGGGAGTCACTGTAAAGAGGGAATGTGCAGGAAAATCAGGGAGATTTTCACCCAGAACGGGGCAGAAAAGCACAGCACCGTTTGATCTGACCCCCTCTTTACTCCCCAAGCCCTCACAAGTGCCAAGAAAACAAGATTCCCTGGCCCATGCCAAGAATTCCAGGGACATCCAAGAGCGGCACAGCCGCAGGAGAGGGTGGGAGAGAGCGACCCACTTCCAAGCACTCCGTGGCTACAAACTCCGGGGTTAAACCTTGCAGAGCTTCAGGATCTGGTCGCAAACATCCTCTGCTAGCCCAGGATATTCCCTGCTCCAGAATTACCCCGCGATCCCAACCAAAGCACGTCCCGGTTGCCGCCGGGGTGGGACGAGCAGAGCCCGGAGCGGGGCCGGGAGCCGCTGGCAGCTCAACACGCTCAACACAGACCCCACAACCACCTTTCCCCGGGCTCCTTCCAACCCAGCAGCCTCATCCCTCCCTCGGCTGCTCGTTTTTCCACCCCCCTTCCTCCTCTTCCCGGGGAATTTGCTCCGGGAAGCATCGGCTTCCCCATCCCGGCTGCCACGCAGAGGCACCAGCTCCCTCTCGTGGGCTTTGTCTTGTGTTTCCAGCTCCTGGCGCTGGAAAGCAGGCAGAATTTCCCGGGAAAGCGGGTTCGTTTTGTCGTTGTGTCTCCCCCTCTCAGCGTTCAGGGCGTTAATTAGTGCGCCAGACGTGGAAATATCCTGGAATTGCGCCAATTTCCATCAAATTCCGCCTCGTAGGCGGGTGGAGGGGGGTGGTTTTTTATAGCTTTGCCACCTTTTTCTTCGTTTATTTTCTTTCTCTCACCGAGCCTGGGATTCAAAACAACTAATTTAGGTGTGATCTCTCTGATTCACTTGCCCAGAGGCTCTGGAAAAAAAAGTTGGGAATCTCCACTGAGCCCTTCAAGTGCCTGTGCCAGAAATGGGGTGGGCACAGACTGGGGCATCCAGCATTGAAATAAGTGAATTAAGGCCCAAATGAGGCTGTTTCAGTTGGAAATGCAGGAAATCAAACGTGGTTTATGAAGTCAAAAGACAAGGAAGAAAAGGAGAATTCACTTTTTTTTTTTTTTTTTTTAAAACCCCTCTTTTGATACCAAAAGAGGCATCAAAAGAGCTACCAAAAGCTTTTGGAGAGCTCCTGGTTTCCTCCGAGCTGGAATTTCCTCCAGAGCTGCATTTCCTGCAGCTTTTCCATCCATTGGGAAGGTATCACAAGCCCAGAGAGGTGTTTGCCCACCCTGCAGCCCACCCTGGGGACATCCAGCTCACTTGTCCCCTCTCCATCCTCTCTGGTTCACGTGATCCAACACCCCACTGGTCACCCCACAACCCAAACCAGGACCTTCCCCCCCAATTCTTGGAACCCTACAAAGAATTTGGGCAGCACATCTGGGGCTGCTGTTCCTCCCACGGGTGGTTTGGTGTTTTCCTGCCTGGAATGATCCCCATCTCAGCGGTGTGAGGGCCACGTGTCCTCGTGGGATGTCCCCTCTTCCCCAGATCCCCGTCTGGGGGAACCTCCCCCCCTTTTTCAAGGCTTGAGGGCTCCATCCCAGTTCCTCCCCAGCCTCACCCACACACATCTCGGCACAGGGATAAATTTATCCCTGGATTTGGGTGTTGGAGGCTCTGCCAGCAGAGGTGAAGGGTGACAACCACACACAGCCAGTCCAGCTGTCCACCATCCCGAAGGAACCACGTCACAGCTGCCCCTGTGACGTCCACCCAGTGCATCCCTCAGGCATTTAAACTGCTGGTTATCATCTCCAACCGGGCATTTATGATTCCACTTGGGATTCTTGGTTGCCTCATCCCGATCCCACGTGTTCCTGCCACTGGAAGGACTCCGTGATGCCTCTTCCAAGCTCCAAGCTCAGCCACTTCTTTCTCCAAGGAGCTTTTTTTCCATGCCCTGGACGACAACAGATGGCTCTTCCCACTCCTTGCGTGTCCAGATAGCTGGGAATCCCCTCCCCAAATTCCTGTGTGCTGAGTTCTCCATGGATTCTTTGTCCTTCATCAGGTTTTTGGATGGGTCAGAGAAGTCTGGGCTGATGAGAACAAGTCCTTTTCCAACCTCTTTTTGTTTAGGGCCCCTCCAAGCGACTTTGCAGCCCCCAGGGGTGGATTCTGCCCTGAGGGACACAGCAAAGGGTGAGGGCTCAGCGGGATTTAATCCCTGGAATCTCTCTGGGGGTCAAAATGAATTCCTGGTCAGAATTAGTGGTTTGGAATCACACCCTCCTCTCCTTCCTCCCTGGGCATCTCAGATGTGTCAGAGAGGAGTCATTGCCGCCAGGACAGGTTTGGGTCACGGGAGGAGAAGGGCAGATTTCCACGGGCAGGAGCTGCAGTGGCCCTTGGGCAAGGGAATCCTGGAATCCTGGAATGGTTTAGGTTGAAAGGGACCTTAAAAATCATCCAGTTCCACCCCCTACCATGAGCAGGGACACCTTCCACTAGCCCAGGTTGTTCCAGCCTGGCCTTGGACATTTCCAGGGATCCAGGGGCAGCCACAGCTTCTCTGGGCAACCTGTGCCAGGGCCTCCCCACCTTTAAATTAAAGATTTTCTTCCTGATATCCCACTTAAACCTCCTCTCTTTTAGTTTAAAGCCATTCCCCCTCGTCCTATCATTCCAGAGCATCATAAAAAAAATACCCCTTTTCTCCTCAGCCCTACCCAGGACGATTTATTTCCCCTCATATCAACCAGGGGATATAAAAAAGCTTTTTTTTTTTTTTGCTGCAAAGGAATAGCAAATCAAGCCAAAAAAATCCCACCCCAAACCCAGCCAGTTTTTTGCTTTATAGCAGCAAAAAAAAGATCCTTTTGTGTTTTCCTGCAGGCTGGAGGTGGTGGGAGGTGGGGGGGGGGAGCTCTGCTACTGCAGGACTTGTAAATCCAACACAATGAAATATTAATTATTAGAGTCTGTCCAACTGGGATTCCTCGGTGCTTTCAGAGAGCTGAATAATTCTGGCCCACAGGAGAAAAACCACACAAGCCCCTTTTTATTATTATTACTATTATTTTATTATTATTATTATTATTATTATTATTGTTCTTTCTATGGGAAAACCTCATGTGATGGGTAAATTAGAGCTTTGGGTGGAGAGAGGGGAGGGGGCTTTGATGGCTTCGGGGGTGAGAAATGTGGATTCCTACAGACGATTTGGGAGGGCTGGGAGGGTCTAAAAAAAGGGGGTGCATCGCCCACTGGGGCTCCTTGGGGGCATAACCGAGCAGGAGGGGGGAAAGGAGAGGAGAAGTGGGTGAATTAGAGGGAGAAGCATCTCTGAGGGGTCCTGTTAAGCAGCCCCGGAGAAGAAAAGCTCCCCCCCGGGCAGGCGCGGGCAGCAACAGCCCGAGGCAGCCCCGCTCAGCTCGGCTCAAAGCCCCTTTTGTCCCCCTTGTTTACCGAGGGTTGGGTTCCAAACACAAAACGGGACGTCACCCCTTGGCTCAGAAGCGGTTTGGGAGCCCAAGCTGAACGGAGTCACAGCGTTTTCCAGAGCGAAATTACCCCCCCCCTTCCTTCCCCCCCCCAGAAAAATGCAGCTTGGGGGAAAACAGAGACACTCTGGCAATGAAAAAAAATCTCTGCTCTCGGCATTGTTCATTTTTTCGGCTTCTTTTTACCCTCCTTTCTCTGCAGGCTCTGGAAGCATCTCCACGGAATATTTGGCTTGTCTGAAATATCTTTTTTCTTTTCTTTTATTTCCTTTCAATACCTCTTAAATGTTCCTCAGCAGCTCAACCTAAATAAGTTTTTCAGGAGGGGAAGTGGAGGAGCAGCTTCTTGGAGCAGCGACAGGACCAGGGGGAACGGCTGGAGCTGTGTCAGGGGAGGGTTAGGCTGGATTTTAGGAAAAGGTTCTTCATCCCAGAGGGTGGCTGGACACTGGAACAACTTCCTCAGGGAAGTGGGCACATCCCCAAGCCTGCCAGAGTTGCTTTTTCCAAGAGCTCCTGCAACTCCACATGGTGGGATTCTTGGGGTTGGGCTTGGATGATCCTCGTGGTTCCCTTCCAACTCAGGACATTCCACGATTCTGGGATTACTCTGCAGTCGATTTGGGGGGTGGATTTTGGAGGGAAAGATCAGTGAATGGGTTTTTGGAAGCCACAATTCCAAGTGGCAGGGCCGGGACAGTGCTGGCAGACCCTGGGTGAGGTCACTTGGCTCCAGCAACAGAAGGGCAACCTGAGGAAAGGGATTCCCAGGGATGCTGGAAGTGGAGGTGGGGCCAAAGCCAAGCAGATGTTTGTGCAGATGTGCAGAGAAGCCTCACTTTGGGAAGAAATGTGGCAGCCAAGGCAGAGCCAAGAGGAAGGGGAGGTGTGTGGGGGACGTGTCTGGCTCTTCAGGGGGCTCTGGGGGTGTCACTGTCCCTGAGCTGGAGGGGAAAAGAGGATGGGAAGAACGAGGTGAGAGGTTCAAGGGAGGAGCTGTGACTGTCACCAGTCACAGGCTCAGGCTCTTTCACCCAGGAAGCTTTTTTTCCCCTTCCCTGGCAACAAACCCAGGAGTCTGCAGAGCTTCCCCTCCGAGCGGGTTGTTATTTTTGCCCACTCCCCTCCTCCAGCCTGGAAGCTGCCCCTCCATGGCTCCAGCACCCAAAACAGGATAAAACTGCAGGAGAAACCCCTCTAGAGATGCAGGAGATGCAGAAGCAGCACATCCCTCCCCCAGGCAGCGGGACAGAGCAGGGCCACCCCTCCAGGACGCTGCTGAGGTGACAGAGCTCAGGGATGTGACAAAGCCAGTGAGAAGCCACAAGTCGGGAGGCAACACAGGGGCAGGAGGTACTGATAATTATTTTATCTATTCCACAGCGTGTTCCACGTCCATGCCCTCCTGGGGGAAAGCTGGCCACGCTCTCCAGGCCTTCAGGAGCCCCTTTTCTTCCATCAGCAGTGGGCAGGTGAAGGAGGCCAGTGGGATGGGGCTCCCTGGCGTCTCACTGCCGGGCCAGCCTGGGCCCAGGGCACGCACTCAGGTTGCACAGGAAGGTTTGGCAGCAGTGGGAGGTGTAGGAAGCCAGGCCCAGGCTGAAGTTGTGGTTTGGGCAGGTCTCAGAGCACTTCTTGGTGATCCTCTTCCACAGGGACAAGAAGCCTTGGCCGAGGAAAGGGGAGAGAGCGGGGTCAGCTGTGGGAGTTTGGTGAGTTCTCCTCCAGCTTTCGCAGGAGGGAGGTGGATTGACGGGTCCCACTGTCCCCCCCAGAGCCCCAGAGAGCAGCATGAGCCCCACCCCAGTCCCACCACAGCTTAATAATTACTAGTGACCCCCTACACAAGGCATTCAACGTCCTTGCTGGGTACTTCCCCTCATGCCAAAGGGGTACAGTGGGATCCGTGAGACAACGTTCACCCCTGGACTGGAAACACATTTCCAGGCTTCCCTGCCTGAAGGGAATAATTCTGTTCTCCTCTGCACCTGGCTTGGATCAGAAATGGTGTGACCAGCAGGACCAGGGAAGGGATCCTTCCCCTCTCTTGGCACTGGTGAGGCCACACCTCGAATCCTGGGGTCAGGGTTGGGCCCCTCAGGACAAGGATGACATTGAGGGGCTGGAGCGTGTCCAGGGAAGGGAACGGAGCTGGGAAGGGGCTGGAGCAGCAGGAGCAGCTGAGGGAGCTGTGGGGGCTGAGCCTGGAGAAAAGGAGGCTCAAGGGGGACCTTTTTGCTCTCTGCAACTCCCTGACAGGAGGGGGGAGCCGGGGTGGGGTCAGGCTCTGCTCCCAGGGAACAAGGGACAGGACAAGGGGAAACAGCCTCAAGCTGTACCCAGGGAAGGTTCAGGTTGGACATCAGGATGAATTTCTTTGTGGAAAGAGTTGTCAAGCCCTGACACTGCTGCCCAGGGCAGTGGTGGACTCACCATCCCTGGAAGTGTTCAAGAAATGTGTGGATATGGCACACGAGGACACAGTTTAGTGGTGAACATGGTGGTGGTGCTGCATTGACAGCTGGACTTGGTGACCTTGGAGGTCTTTTCCAGCCTTAACAATTCCCTGATTCTCCATCTCTCTACACCTTCTCACCCACCCCAACTACTTGTTTCTTTCCATCTCCTCATTTAACTACAGTTCAAATTAGTTTATCCTCTCCCTGAAAGATCCTTCCCTTTCTCCCACTGCCTTTCCCTGCAGGAATGAAACGAAGGACAACCTCAGTGTGACGGGGAGGAGGATTTCAAACCATCAGCACTGCCAGGACTCCACCTCCCCGTGCCATCCATCACAAATCCAGCCCAAAGCCCAAATCCCATTCCCTGGTCCCCACGAGGGGACACAGAGCCAGCACTCACCAATCCCCACGGAGGCCACGTTGGTCACACAGTACTCGTCCTTCTCCGAGCACTTCTCGGCCTTCAGGCAGCTCCAGTTGCTTCGTTCCCAGTTGCAGGTGTAGCAATGCAGGGCATTGGCTGCAGGAGGAGACACAGGACGTGGAGGATGGAGAAAAATAGTCATCAGAAAATCAGGGAAGTGGCTGTCCCTCTGTATTGGACACTGCTGAGGCCACACCTCGAATCCTGGGGTCGGTTTTGGGCCCCTCAGGACAAGAAGGACGTTGAGGGGATGGAGCGTGTCCAGGGAAGGGAAAGGAGATGGGAAGGGGCTGGAGCAGCAGGAGCAGCTGAGGGAGCTGAGGGGGCTCAGCCTGGAGAAAAGGAGGCTCAGGAGGATCCTTTTTACTCTCTGCAACTCCCTGACAGAGTGGGGGAGCCAGGGGAAGTCGGGCTTTGCTCCCAGGGAACAAGGGACAGGAGAGGAAACATCATCAAGCTGCACCAAGAGAGGTTCAGGTTGGACATCAGGAGGAATTTCTTCATGGAAAGGGAGGTCAGGTATTGGCAGGGGCTGTCCAGGGAGGTTTGGAGTCCCCATCCCTGGAGGTGTCCAAGGAATGCCTGGATGTGGCACTCAGTGCTCTGGGCTGGGGGACAAGGTGGGGATGGGGCACAGATTGGACTTCATGACCTTGGAGGTCTTTTCCAACCTCAATGATTTTGGGATTCTGTGAAATGCCACCAGTCCTGGCAGCAAAAATCATCGCCGTCTTTTCACTGAGTCTCAAATGCAGGAGGTTCAGGGCTGATGGGAGTGATGGGGCTCAAAGACCCAACCCACTCTTCCATCCCCACGCTGGGATATTTACACTGACCCAGGGATCAGGGACACACCCCTGTGCACACACCCACACCAGATAACACTGCCCTGCACTCCAAATTACACCACAAAGGGCCATGGGGCTCAAAATAACACAACAATCATGGAATCCTGGAATGGTTTGGGTTGGAAGGGACCTAAAAATCATCCAGTTCCAACCTGCAGCCATGGGCAGGGACACCTTCCACTGTCCCAGGTCGCTCCAAGCCTCATCCAGCCCGGCCTTGGACACTTCCAGGGATTCAGAGGCAGCCACAGCTTCTCTGGGCAACCTGTGCCAGGGCCTCCCCACCCTCACAGGGAAGAATTTCTTCCCAACATCTAAACCAAAATTCCCTCCTTCAGTTTGACAGGCCGAGGGCCCTGGGTTTGATGGGATGCCTGGAGCAGGGAAGGGCAGGGACTGCTGGAGGATCTCCAAGGATGTCCTGAGGCCTGGGTTCACCCCTTTCTAGTCGTGGAGACTATTAAGCTGCAGCCTAATTAGGCAGAAAGCCCAAGGCAGATGAAGAGGATTAATTGGGACTCCACAGCCTAAAGAAGTCAGGCTCCCACGCCTCTATCCTTGGGTGGGACATCAGCACCCTCAAAAATACACCCAATACCTGGATTAAGGAAAAAAGGAAGGTGAGGAGAAGGGCCTTGAACTCTTTGCTGTGAGAACTCAGCCCCTAAAACAGTGTAACACTTCATTTTTCCTGCCTGGATCATCCAGCGTGGATTAGACCAGCCTTCATTCTGGCACCGAGGACAAACTCTCTGTCTCCCAGGCCTTGTTAACACTTGGAAATCTGTCAGGACCTCTGTTGTGGTGAGTGAACAAAGCTAAATAGCAGAAAGGTATTCTTAGGCCACAATGAGACAGAAATAACTATTCCAAGGAATTCTTTCTCTGCACCAGACAACGTGGCAGAATTCCAGGCGCTGGCAAGGCCTGTCCCTCTTTTACAAAGTGAGGATAAGATTTAATTCTCTCTGGTTGCTTGACTGTCTCGTCTAGGGGGGATATAGGATCATATGCCTTGAAAGGGCACTGATTTAATTTACCATCAGGCTGTGAAATAAAACAAATCATCTACAGCACAAACGAGATGCAAACACCAAATATCCCACCATAAGGCTGCTTAACCCATTCAGTCCACGACTTCTCCTCAAACCCCCAACTTTGCCCCCAAAAACCCCTGAAATCAGGTCTGTGAGATGGGTAGGAACAGCTGCATGAAGCCAGATGTTGTAGGTGTGGCCACATCCAGCTGCTGCTTCCAGAGCGGGATCCAGATGTTCAGAGTCGCTGTCGTGTCACCTTCATCAAGATTTAGAAACCAACCATGGTCTTGCACCACCTCAACAGACAAAGTCTCTCAAAGGCAGAGCAACTGCCTCCTGGTTGTTGTTTTTTTATTCCTTTCCATAAAAATCCCAGCCTCGACGAGGAAATTTCCCGGCATACAATCCGCGCCTTCCGCCCGAGATGGCAGATAACAAACCCCAAAGAGGAGCCCTGTGTCCTTCAGCTGCTCCCACAGGAGAGCTGAGGCTCCCTCTCCCAAGTTTTCCTTCCCCTGGAAAGAGGAACCTCCCTGTCCCCCCCCACTAAAAACACCCCACTGTGTTTTATGGGGGGCAGTGAACGGTGTCACCTCACCTGGGGCCGCGCAGAGGATCAAAACCAGCACCGCGAGGAGAGAGCCCTTCATCTTCTCCCAGCCGTGTCCCCAGCCCAGGAAAAACACCCTCACCTGGGGACAGGATATTTATCTTCCCTGCCTTTGCGCCGCCTGATGATGAAGACAACGATTTGGAAAGAGTGGGCAGGGACCACGAGCTGGGTGAGAGGCCAGGAATGCACGTGGGTTGTTTTGTCACCTCCAGGCTGAGAGGAGTGAAAGCCCCACGGGAATCCACACCTTTTATTGGGTTTAATGTCTTAATTTACTCCTTGGTCAGGCTGGAAGTGCTGCTGGTGCCGGAGTGGGGGTTTTGTTCTGCTCAGCTGCATCTGATCTGTGGTTGGATAGTTCAATGAAGGCAAATACTCGAAGGAAAATGGTGTAAATTAATGCCAGGTGCATTTCCAGTGTTTAGACCTGGGGAAGTCCCAATATCTTCAGTCAGGTTAAACCCACTTCAGATTGTCACCCATTCATGGTGACAATTTCAACAAGAAGTGTCTTACAATGTCTTCTTTGCCTCTGAAAGCTGCTGGTTACCTACAAAGTCCTAAATCACAGAATCACAGGATGGGTTGGAAGGGACCTTGAAGACCATCTTTTTTCACCCCTGTGCCATGGGCAGGGACATCTTCCATTAGACCAGCTCAATTCCCCTCCCAACCTGGCCTTGAGCACTTCCAGGAAGGGTTAAAAACATCTTTGTGCCCCCTTCTCTACAAGGAGCATCCCATTCCAAGCCCTGCCAGATCCCAGCCAGACGTGATGTTCCGAGCCCTGAGGATTTCTCCTCAGGATTATGGTTTAGGTGGAGCTGGAGCTGATAACTTCACCCTTTCCAGGGTTCCCATTGTCCTGCCTGTCCCACTTGTGCTTCCAAGGAAAGAGTTATCAGGAGGTTTAGTGCTGGGTATCAGATCCATCTCCATGAATCACCAGCTCATCGAGCCACCGAGGAGCAGGGAGGGTGAAGCGGGAGGAGCCCCTGGGAGAGAAGCCACTTGTGCAATCGGGTGTCTGCTCATCCCTTCCCCCTCCACCCTGCAAGGAAAGGGAGCAGAGACCCTCTGCAGCTCCCAGCCTGGGATTTACAAGATGGAGAAGCAGAAGGAGAAGAGGGAGAAGCTCAAAAAACATGTGGGAGAAAGATTAGATGGATGAGGTGAGGGTTTAATGGTTGGGGGCAGCATCAGTTTGTTGGCAGGAGGTAAATGAGATGAGCAGGAGTCCCTCAAGGAGGGGTGATGCTCATCCAAGACATTTAGAGCATGTGATGGGACCAGTCATTGCTCATCACGTGGCCAGAGGAAGTTCAAGGGGACACCAAACCCCAGAGCAGCTTCTTTTCCAAGGACAAAAACCTGTGGAGGAAAGATCAGATGGACAAGGCGAGGGTTAAATATTTGAGGGCCAACATCAGTTTATTGGCAGGAGATAAATCAGATGAGCAAGAGTCCCTCAAGGAGGGGTGATGCTCATCCAAGGCATTTAGAGCATCTGATGGGGCCAGTCATTGCAATTCCCAGCCTGGGATTTAGAAGATGGAGAAGCAGAAGGAGAAGAGGCAGAAGCTCCAAAAACATGTGGGAGAAAGATTAGATGGATGAGGTGAGGGTTTAATGGTTGGGGGCAGCATCAGTTTGTTGGCAGGAGGTAAATCAGATGAACAAGAGCTCCTCAAGGAGGGGTGATGCTCATCCAAGGCATTTAGAGCATCTGATGGGGCCAGTCATTGCAATTCCAGCCTGGGATTTAGAAGATGGAGAAGCAGAAGAGGCAGAAGCTCCAAAAACATGTGGGAGAAAGATTAGATGGACAAGGTGAGGGTTTAATTATTGGGGGCAACATCAGTTTGTTGGCAGGAGGTAAATCAGATGAACAAGAGCTCCTCAAGGAGGGGTGATGCTCATCCAAGACATTTGGAGCATCTGTGGGATCAATCATTGCAATTCCCAGCCTGGGATTTAGAAGATGGAGAAGCAGAAGGAGATGAGGCAGAGGCTCCAAACCCATGGAAGATTAGATGGACGAGATGAGGGTTAAATATTTGAGGGCCAACATCAGTTTCTTGGCAGGAGATAAAACAGATGAGCAGGAGCTCCTCAAGCAGGGGTGATGCTCATCCAAGGCATTCAGAGCATCTGGTGGGACCAGCCATTGCCCATCACAGTGAAGACATGGCCAGAGGAAGTTCAAGGAGACACCAAACCCCAGAGCAGCTTCTTTTCCAAGGACAAAAAATAAATGTGTGTGTAGGGGGGGGGGGTGATTGCACTGAGCTTTTTTTTGAGGGTGGATTTACAGCTATTTTCGAGGTTTCTGCCCCTGGTGTTGACCCACCAGCTCTGCTGACGTCCAGCAGGATCAACAGGATGGTGAAGTCAGCCCTGATAACCCCAAGAGCTCCAACCATTCCTCTCCAATGGACAGCCACCTGGGCGTGGGGAGGATAAGCCACAGTGCTTGCCCAAGAGGTGGAACCCTGCCAGGCTGGGGGATGGAATGCCAGTGGGAATGCCAGGGGAGATGTGTCAGTGCTCCCAGATGTCACAAGGCAGTGACCCAAGAGCAAGACCTCTTCCAGGGAATAGGGGTTGACCAATGTGACTCACTGCGTGGCGTCACCTCGCAGGGATGAGTGTGGAAAATAGCCTGGGAAGCCAAGGCAGGGGTGGGAGCTCCCTGGAAAAGCTCTGTGCGGATAGAGCAGGTGGTTTGATCCGGATTTGACTGGGTCTGGGAGGGAAAAATGGAAAAATAATTGTGTTGCTCTTCAGGAGCTGCTGCTCAGAGTGGTTGCGGACTCCTCATCCCTGGAAGTGTCCAAGGTTGGGTTGGACAGGGCTTGGAGCAACCTGGGATAGTGGAAGGTGACCCTGCCCGTGGCAGGGGGTGGAACTGGATGATCCTGAAGGTCCCTTCCAGTTAAATCCCTTCTATGATTAACAAGGTTCATTCCCTCGATTCCAAGGACTGGTGGCACAAACATGTCCTGGAGAGCCAGAGAGGAATGACCAGCTCCAGGGATCCAGATCTGCTCCCCACTGACAGCAGGGCCATAGGAAGTGCTCCAGGGATCCAGATCTGCTCCTTACTGGGCAGCAGGGCCATGGGAAGTGCCCCAGGGATAGGGATCTACTCCCCCCTGGCAGCAGGGCCATGGGAAATGCTCCAGGGATCCAGATCTGTCCTTATGGGCAGCAGGGCCATGGGAAGTGTTCCTGGAATCCAGATCTGCTCCCCACTGGCAACAGGGCTGTGGGAAGTGCTCCAGGGACAGGGATCTACTCCCCCCTGGCAGCAGGGCCATGGGAAGTGCTCCTGGGATCCAGATCTGCTCCCCACTGACAGCAGGGCCCTGGGAAGTGTTCCAGGGATCCAGATCTGCTCCCCACTGACAGCAGGACTTTGGGAAGTGTTCCAGGGATCCCAATCTGCTCCCCACTGACAGCAGGACTTTGGGAAGTGCTCCAGGGATCCAGATCTGCTCCCCACTGACAGCAGGGCCATGGGAAGTGTTCCAGGGATCCAGATCTGCTCCCCACTGACAGCAGGGCCATGGGAAGTGCTCCAGGGATCCAGCTCTGCTGCCCACTGACAGCAGGACCTTGGGAAGTGTTCCAGGGATCTGGATCTGCTCCTTATGGACAGCAGGGCCATGGGAAGTGCTCCAGGGATCCAGATCTGCTCCCCACTGACAGCAGGACCATGGGAAATGCTCCAGGGATCCAGATCTGCTCCCCACTGACAGCAGAACTTTGGGAAGTGTTCCAGGGATCCAGATCTGCTCCCCACTGGCAGCAGGGCCATGGGAAGTGCTCCAGGGATCCAGATCTGCTCCCCACTGACAGCAGGACCATGGGAAGTGCTCCAGGGATGCAGATCTGCTCCCCACTGACAGCAGGGCCATGGGAAGTGCTCCAGGGATCCAGATCTGCTCCCCACTGACAGCAGGGCCATGGGAAGTGCTCCAGGGATCCAGATCTGCTCCCCACTGACAGCAGGGCCATGGGAAGTGCTCCAGGGATCCAGATCTGCTCCCCACTGGCAGATCTGTGCCATGGGAAGTGCTCCAGGAGGGATCTGCTGGCAGGAGGGGTTGGATGGAGAACAGGGATAGTGGACAAAGGTCCAAAACGGGCCACTTGGCATTTGGGGGGTTCTGGAGCGGGATATTTGGGAAGTGGCCATCCCAGCCTCGGGAATGTGTGATGCAGGGGTGAGGGTGGCAATGCCATGGCTGGAATTTCCTCAGGGGACACTCAGGGGGGTGGGGTCACCACGGGTGGCATGAGCAGAGCGTGGAAGGCACTGCTGGGCCAGGACACCGAGCTGGAAAAATCTGTGCCAGGATCCGGGATAACAGGGTGGAAATGAGGCTGGGAATGAAACGTGTCCAATGTAAAGAAATATATACGTGTGATATATAAATTATATATATTGGGTAATTATAAATATATCCAACGAGCTGGAAATTAAATATATCTAATATAAATAAATATATATCCAAGATAAAAGTGTTACTTTTATATATTATGCAATTGGAAATCTATCCAATGAGCTGGAAATGAAATGTAGCCAATATAAATAAATATATATCCAATATATAAATATTAATTATACATAATAGATATTATATGATTGTAAATATAAATCTATCCAATGAGCTGGAAATTAAATATATTTAATACAAGTAAATATATATCCAATATAAAATATTAATTTTATATATATTATATAATTGTAAACATAAATCTATTCAATGAGCTGAAATTAAATATATCCAATATAAGTAAATATAGATCCAATAAATGTATATTATAAATAATAAAATATATAAAATGTATATTATAAATAATATATATTATATAAGTTTATGTCTATCCAATGAGCTGGAAGTTAAATATATCCAATACATAAATATAAGTTATATATAATATATATTTTATATAATAATAATTATAAATCTATCCAATGAGCTGGAAATTAAATATATACAATATAAATAAATATATATCCAAGATCTA